GTTCAAGTTGTCTTTAGGCTGGGACCCTTATGGTAGGTGAGTACCTTTAGCCTGAAGCTAGTAAAATGGAAAGACAACAAATATTATAGGGAGTGCGATAATCTCCATGGCATCATCATGACAAGCCTAATTCTGTTTTGACAGACATGAGTGACAGCTGTGCCACTGGTGCCAAGAAGATTAAACTGAATGATGATTCAGATGAGTCAAATTTTTTTAAATTTGTTTATAAATATCAAAGACAACAGTTGCTTCTTGAATTTCCACAAGAAGTGAATGTGCTATTTCTCAAAATTTTAGGCTTGGTCTTTAAAGCTGGGTCCATATTGTTCAATTCAAAATACATCCAGCATGAAAAATCACTTGTCCAAGCCAATGTTTAACATGAGTCCGTCACCTGGACTTGATATACAGTGAAGAGAACAGGTTCTTCCAGGATGCAATTCATGTCATCTGGTAGATGCCTTAAAAAATTCAAATGGATCATGCTAGAAACATTTGTTTCCTTCCACTGACTATAAAGAGAATGTATATGACTAGGTCAGATGTCGATATCTACACTGGAGATAAATCCCATCTTCATTGCCTTGAATAGAGTCTGGACTAGAGCTTAACAAAGAGAATATCATGAGGCCAGGGGACATAAGCACATCATTTTAAAAGCAGGAATTTGAAATTTATAGCCCAAATGACCAAAATTCTTGGTTGTGTAGGCATTTTTACTAGAAATGCTGAAATTCAGAAGCTGCTGCATACTGAAATAAAAGAAAAATATGACAAGGAAAAAAAACCTGCCAAAATTTTACTTTCCAAAAGAGACTAAAATCAGAAGACTTTAAAAGTGCTCTGACTAATCAGAGTATAGAGAATAATGAAGAGGAGGGAGTTTAAGGCAAGCTGAAGCTGAACTTCAGAGACAGATCGCCTACTTAAGATTATAGCACACAGCATGTTCCAGTGACTTTCTGACATTTCATCTATCTTACTGTATGAACTGCTTCCAGAAGCAGATCTATCCTTCTAGAACTCCCACTTCTGTCTCTACTTGTCTTTCACTTCCCTCCCCATTTGGTGCATTGAAAACTCTCCAGAGTATTTCAGGAGACAAAAGCCACCTGAGCAACTGACAGACATTCTGGTTATCTGGATTTTAATAGCAAAATACACCATTATTGTGGATCAGTGCATATCTGATCAGGTTTTTTTGGTCTCAGTTCCACTTGCACATGGGAAACTTTCCTGGTAGTATTCTGGAAAAAAAGAAATAGATGTTTTATTTTGTTGAAACAGTGAAATGCATTATTACCTCAAGGTCTTATGTAAACCTCTTAAGAGCAATGCAACTGCGTTAAGAAAACCGTGAACAGGACTATAGATATTGGGTGATACTCACTATCAGCATGCCCACTTCCCGGAATATGGAGGTTTCCTTTCACAATATATGCCCTAAATATGTTACAATAAACTATTTTTTAATTTAGACTAGAGGAAAATGTGAAAAGGAGATTATTGTGGCTGCCTATCAAAAGGGATACCAAATATCTCGGCTGATACAGCGTTTTGGTTGTTGAGGGGCAGTAAAGAGGGGCTTTTCAATGCTTGCAACCCCTTTGCCTTCATCCTGGACTCCAGTTCAGTTCGCTAGGCTTGGCTGCTATCAGCCCTCACACTTGGACTGCTGAAACCAACATAACTGATCGCTATCCAATGATCTGCTCCCTCCTGGATATAAAACATGGCAGGCTACTACTATTTTTTTTCATGCAAGCTATGATACAAATCCCACACAACCTTGTTTACTTGTAGGGGTTGATACCCATGGTAGAGTTTCACAAAGGAAGATTTTTCAGTGTCTTACATTCCTTAGGAAATACGTTAAATCGTTTCAGTTTTCAGAGTGCATTAATTATGGTCTTACAGATTTTATCATAGTAGATTTCAGTATATAAGACTGCTTCTAGTTTCAAAGGCTACCTTTAGGTATAATGAGCTATTTTCCCAAGGACTGACAGAACGTTTCCTTAAAAGACAGTTAAAAAACATACTTAGAACTAGGATTTTCCATTGCACTCATTTCTGCTATTTGAACTCCAGATAAGTTCCTCTGCTATAATCTCCATCCATAGAAGCTGGAACAGACCATCATAAATTTAGATTTAACTGAAAAAACAGACAATACAAGAAATTCAGAGTCTGCTCTGGCTTCTGCTGGCACAGAGGAGACAATGACTGCATTTCCACAAAACTCCCTCAGCTTCTTCACTCAAACTTTCCTAGGCAGAAAGTAAGGATGAGCTAAGAGCAGCAGTTTTTATCATAAAATGCTACCTATAAAGTGAGTATTTGTACAACACTTCTATTAAAACACAGCCATTTATATCCTTTTCTTCCACAAAGTATCATTAGGCTAGAATACAGAAAGAATTTTTCATATTTTCTAGCTAGCCCACAACTTGGTCTATGCCATAATTCAGTTCAAACCAGTCTCTGTTTTTAAAACTGTAGCATTTTTAAACCACTAAACCATTTTCTTTCTGTTATGAGTTCTCAGACATGCCTAGGCAATGCATTGAGAAGTATGTGTGGGAGATTTCTGAACATCAGAGATATCATTAATTGAACAAATGGTACCAATTGTATTATGTCTGTCTTTAATCAAACCTAACACATGAGACACTTGTATACAGCAAAATCCTGAATACCTGCATCAGCCAAGAGAATTTCGATCTATCTGAAGAATGAGGCTTTCTGTTCTGTAGACAAAATGAATATGCTTGTTTAGGCTACAAAGGTGAGAAAGAATGGAAAGATTAAATAGGCCATACATTCCTGGTGCCTGAGAAAGGAAAGTTTGGCATAGCACTGTGCTGTATAACCTGGAAAATTTAGTTCTACTTGTTAAAAATAGGAATGTATTTAATGTGTTAAAGGAATCCATGAATTTGTTCAATTTGTGTTTCTTTAAATTATTTTCCAAAGCTAGTCTATATTGAAATAGCTTCAGTGTAACGTAAAAGATATAAAATTCAAACATTCTTAGTATATTATGATCATTATAATAATAGAAAGAATGAGACACTCTAAACAAGATTAAACCCTCAGTGTGCTATGTACAATTATATAGTCAAGATAGCGTCCTATCCAGAGGTCTTACTGTCTGCATAAGAGCATGAGAAAAATGAGATTAAAGACCAGATTAATTCTAGGAAGTAGCATGAAGAACTGAGCTGTTTCACCAGTGCCTGAGGAAATGCAGCAAAACCTAGCCTCAACAAGGTATTTTTGCATAGTCCCAAGTCATAGTGCCTCAGTCATATCACATTATTTTGAGAATCCAGAAAGAAGTAACCCAGGGAAAATAAATGCAGTTTAGAAAATGCAGCAAGTTGAGAACAGTCAGATGCTAGGAGAGTGCACAGGGGCAACGCCACATGTGCTTGCCCAGCTCTTTCTTCTTCCTAGTGTAGAGGGAAGAATGGGCTAGATAGATGTAATTGGAAGTTCAAGAAAAAATGATGAAAACCCATGCAGGCTAATGTCATTTGAAGCGATCCATTGGCTCCCCTGCAGCCAGTGTAAGTCATGCAGGCTGGGTGTTAAAGATGCGCCCAGTGCTTTTCCAGAACTCAAAATGGTGATCCTACAAACTGCTGAACTTGCAAACGGGAACACTTGTGTGATACATGCTGCTCCATAACTGTGAAGGACACTAGTAAAGCTCGTTCTGTAAGGAAAGTTATAAATATCCTTTCAAATTTACAGCATGGGGGCAAAAGAGAGTACTCTTTAAATGAAACTGAACAAATAAATATTGTCCTCTGCTTCACAGCTAAGTGTTTTGTGACATGCCTGGTAAAAGCGTGCTTACAGACCCGCCACGATGCTGTCTCTAACTATAAAGAGCTACGAGCATAGCAAGGGCAATGGAAAAGGTGCTGCCCACCCCACAAAGCAGGCTTAACCCTGCCCAGGTCACAGCCTCCTGCCCACTGTCACCATCGCTGCTGCCCTCTGGTCAGAAAGCAGCAGGGACCCCAACGGCCGGTAATGAGTGAAGGTATATAGGGGTGAGCTACCCCTTACAGACAGGTCCTTGGAAACTCAAGGATGGCCAGGATTACATCCAGGCATTGATGCCAGGCTCTACAGCTAGGAAAACAATTTTAAACAATCTGAGTAGTAGGCCACTGCTCAGTAACCAACATATTCATTCTATCAAAGAGAAGTTTGAGTTCTTATATTTGAGAGCTGATGCATACAGAGGAACTGAAGTTAAAATAGAGGGAAATAATATGTTGCTTACAACAAAATAAATTTCTCAAACTTCTAGTAAGACATGAACTGTGCTAGTTGCAATCAAAGGAAGTTTTATTTATCCTCTGACATTTTCAAACCCAGGACATTTTCTTAAGTGACAAAAAAAATAAAGTAAAATGTTGTAGCATCACTGGAATGATAAATACACATTCACAAGTAAAAGTATATTTGAACTGACAGCAATGTGCCTGACCACAAATAACTAGGCATGCTGCTGAACATATTATTGTAAAACACATGCAGACATATTTAAATTCATTCCAATATCTTACACAATACAAAACATTCTTACCACTATAAAATGATCAAAGATATCTTGAATATGAATATTTAGTGATTTAGTATTTTTCTTTACATACCTGCATCCCATATAGAAACAATCAAAGCAGAATGATTTTTGCCTCAAAAATTATGGACTACATTCTACTGTCTAGAGTAATTCTCAGAATTTTTTTCCTGTAAGTCAGGTGCAATTGTGCATATACAGTTAATTTAATAATATATTTAATGTAATTTTATATGCAGCCATGTAAAAATCACTGTATATTTGACTAGACTGCTGCAAAGTTTGCTGCAGTTTGAGCTGCAGCATATGTTTCACGAGTAAACAGCTTTGACCTACCCCCTAAGAGCAAAAGCAGCTATAAGCTCATCTGACTTCTTATCAAACTTTTTGTTCTTACCTCTTCCTTTGTCTTTTTTGATATGACTCTTAACCAGTCTCCAATCATGCTGAGGACAGCTGCAAAGTAAGCAAGCCCAACAAGGATCCAGAACCACACCACTGGCTTATAAAAATCTAGGTACTCAATATCTGATCCCCCTGAAAAACAATACAGTTAAAATTAAAGCAGACTTATTCGTTATAGGTGCAAAACTGTTTTTAAATTAATTATTTTCCTAAAAAAAAAGTTTCTTACAATGTCTGTTTTCTTACCCATGCAAAAATTCATAGCAAAGCATTCTTCTGAATTTGAATAAATGACAACTGAAATCCATCCACTCTTGAAAACACAGTTTGGAGTACACACATTTTAGACAATGATTGCTCATCATCCATGATTAAGAAATGAACAGAGACAAACCGATTCAACTTCTGATATATCATTATTCAAGATAGACGTCATTGAGGACAGCTTGAATGAAAGGACTTCCCACCTGCTCCAAATAACAACGTTGTACCAAATTTTAAGTATTGCTCTGGAATACAAAATGCGTTCATTTCCTGAGAAATCCGATTTTGCAAGGACTTTGAAAGACATCTCAGTATTTACATGAATCCTTTAACCCTAGTAAAGAAGAATAGCACTTGCATTAACAAGTGTCCCTGTTGGGTAGGGAAACATTATCCTCTCCATTTTGCACAGAAGGAAACCAGGGTGCAGGGACATGAACTGAACTGATCATACTCAAAAAAAGGTGGATAAAGTAGATGTCAGCTGAAGGCAGCTTTTTTAAATCCCACTGCCATAAGCACCAGCCACTTTGTTCCTTCCAGTGTTAAAGCAAAAAAGGATAAATTTCAGAGATGCCTGTAATGGAGCTTTCAGGTACAATACAGCTATAGAGAACAGATGCCTTATTTCCACACACACACAAAAAAAAGTTATGTTCATCCAGAACTCTTGACTACACAAAATAACTCACATTTCACATCTTGCAGTACAATAAGGCAGAAGCCCTAAACTTGCAATTCAGCTGTGTTACAACAAATAAAATCAGGCTCCTGGTTTAGGTTGTTGGAAGTAGAAGTCTGATGTGCATGTCTGCCCACAAATGAGGAGGCGCTACAGTAAAACCTTTTCAGGCACGTTAAAGCAGTCTGTATGGGTACATAATATGTCACTTTATGTATCTGCATCCTGTACCGAAACAAAGGAAAATTGGCCCCAAAATATCAAGCACCTTGTTACAGTAAAAAGATAAACTCTCATGAAGAGTAATGGGTTTTTTTCCTAGCTGTTACTATCTAATCATCACAGAGATTACATACAAATAACAAAGAATTTTACTGCTGGTTATCTTTGTATGGAAGCCCTCAGACAGAAATTGTTATTCTCATGTCAATAAGCCTTTTCATCAATAAAATCCATTGAGCTGTAGTGGCTTACTCAACTACCCAAGAGATAAATCCACATTGCAAGAATGGATATACTTTGACACCTGCACAGTCACAAGTGAGGTAGAAGACAGGGCTCTGTCTGGAACAGAAGACAGCCAACCGCCAGAGGGTTGAGTTTGTCACAGTCCAAGAAAAACAAAATAGCACAAATGAAGAGATTTGTTAACATCAACCAGCTTCTTTCAATCCAGTAAAACAGGATTTTAGGGATGATTCACCCAAAATTTGTTGTCATTCAGAAAAATGGTTGATTACCACCATGTTTTTGCTCTGTCAGGAGCTAGTAATGAACCTCGCTCAGAGGTTCCCCTTCTTCTCCAGCTGTTCATACAATGCACAAGAAAGTATCACAAAAAGCATCCACTCAGCTGGTTTCTAATTTTTGGTGTGTTAAGTTTATAAACCAAAACTGGAACCTAACTCTGCCAGTCTGCAGGGAGCATTGCCTTCACAGTTTATTCCTGATTTGTTCACAGCAAGGTTAATTATCAGGGCAGGAGTTAGGACACATTCATATTCAACGAAGAGATTTCTTTACTGTCTGGCCAGGAGATGGCTCCATCTAGCCATGTCCAAAGGAGTTCAGCTTTCCTAAAGTTAGAAAGGGACAGGCAACAACCCTCTGGGACAGGGCTTAACAGCTAAAATCTTTAGTAGCTGTTGAGTTTCTGAATTTCAAGGACTCCTCAACTGAGGTCTCATTTTAATGGAATACCAGGGATAGAGAGACATACCTAAGGATGTTTGTCCTGAGATAACTACTGACTCCTGTGGTGCTTAAACATCACAGAATGTTATAATGCCATTATCTGGGAATGTCATTAAATAGAATTTCACTGGTAGGAAAACATTATCAAAAGTCAATTGTACTGAATATAAAGTAAACTGAATTCATTAACTACTGATTTCCAATTCACATAAATGGGTATGAATGTATTTGGGTATGAGTATGTGTAGGTAAATATGTTTGTACTGAAGTAAAAGATAATTCTTCTAATGATTTTACTGGTAACATTGTAAAAAGTATATCAACATGATACATTTGCATGGAATTTTCATAGCTTAATTTTTACTTAATAATGCTCTCATCTCTTTTGCAAAGCAGATTATTTTATGTCGTCCTTTAGGAAGCAAAATGCTGAGAAGGCAGAAGCTGAATTTCATTTTTTGTTTGACAAAACCAATTGTGGACCAAGGGACGCAACTTTTTTCCAACTTTATTTGACCTCTACCTGAAAGAGGTGACAACCACAATAAAGAAGAAATATCTCCCAACTGGAGCGCGCTTACTCTAAGTAGAAGTCTCACTGCCATAATCTTTTACCAAGAGCAGCCACAGTTTATTGCAGAGATGTTTTGTGGTAAAGATTTGATTCAAAGTGCCTTGAAATCTACAAGAAATCAGAGTTTCTCCATCCATCGTCCTCACAGGCTACTGTATTGCCGCTGCCACCAATTCTTACACTTGCCAAACAACTTTTAAATTATTTGCGATTTTCAACACTTTGGAAGGCATAGGTTGTTTTATGGCCCAAACATATATTCCTTAATAAGGTGAAAAGCTCTGTGTTTCAGTGAAGGATGGCATTAGAGGAGATTTCAGGGGTGCGTTAGGACAGATTCTGGTTCTCAGGTAAGGGATCAGGCTTTCCAACATACCTATTATATAAACAAGTACATTTTAAGTAAATAATTTTAATTTCATTATTGTTGCCGCTCTTTCCCCCATTCTTTCTACAGCTACCTGACTCAAAATAGAAACATGCAATTATTTCTATAAAGTTTTGTCTGGTTTTGTTTGCATCTTTGCTTCAAAAGTAGAAGCAGAGAATAGGAAGTGCTATTGGCTTTGAGCATCTTAATTCCGCACCAGGACCAGTTTCTGTGTTATTCAAAAGTTGGCCCTTCAAACCAAGAAATGTCTTAATTATTTTTTAATCAGCAGTACAAATTACTCTGGGTATAGAAGTGTGACTAAATCCAAACACAGTTTTAATTGCGGAATAATGAATAGCTGTCCAGCATCCCTGTTGTGACAAACCTGGCCAACAGGCTTAATCCAGAAACGTCATTTGTCCCACTCCAAAGAAATACGGAGGTTCAACCCAGCAGCCTGAAAGGAATGACCTACAAGGACTGCAAAAAAGGGACGGAGAAAGGCTAGCTTATGCAGAGATGTGGAAAAGCAGCACGCTCAGGACAAGATAACATTGCACTGCCTGCAAGAGAAAAATATAAGTAGGCCATACGAGTTACTTGATACCACTCAGTGGAAAATGGAGAGCTACTTCAGAATACAAAGCACAGCTATAAAAAACCCTCCTTACATGCTGTCCTATACAGAAATCAAGCAAGACACAGCATGCTGTCTTAGGCTTAAAGCAGGCTGCCTGGTTCACACCAGACAGTCCCTATTATGGACCTGAGGTGGCAAAGTGCACTTCCAAATGCCAAAAAAAGACACAAAGCCTGCGGGAGAGAGCACAGCTCTTTTAGGGGATGCTTGACACACGCCTCTTGCTTGGCATGGCAGCGATTTCTTTCTGTAGAGGTCTTTCTGCCGGGTAGGTAATATCACATAGTGAGAGCAGCTCGACTGGGCTGCTATGACCACCAGGTGAAGCGTTCCAGTTTGGTGACATTGAATGAGACCGAGTTATCTCAGTACTCTACAAACTGGGTCTCAGGCCAAGCAATACAGTGCAGACCCAGATATCTGTATTACAGTGCAAAACACCAAATTCAATTACAGACCAAAACAGTAAAGAAGCAATAAGCTAAAAATGAGAACACTAACAGGAAAAAAAAACACAACTAAAGACAAAAGAGTTAATACATTTTTAAAGAGAGACTTGCAAAATGCTGTGATCTATTCAATTGGACTGATTGCAGCATAACCTTATATCATCATTTTGCACTGCTGTGAAACAAACTATTGATGTGCTATTTATATTTCTGACCTCTACTTAATTCAGTCAAGTTTCGAACATATCATCTAAATTACATTTGAAACCTGTTAGATTAACTCCCTTAGAAATATTTGACTATACCTTCCAATCTGCACTGCAGTTAAAGGATTTATCTGCACATAAGAACAATATATTATGTTAAACATATATAAAGCACCTCAGTGCTAACTTTAGTATCCAATAATATCTTTCATTATACTAAAAATGACACATTTGACATGAAAAGATCTTTTTCTCTTTCACAGAATATACATAATCTTGGCTGGATTTTCTTCTATCATATTGAAGTCAATGGTTTCTCTTGAAAACAAATGACAAAAGGGATGCTTGACTAGGTCCTGATTTTCATAGGATAGTGCAGGCTGTAGTATAGTTTCTTACTTCCCTTTTTGTGAAAAACTACAGTAAACTTTCTTCAATTACAAAAATTTACTTATTTCCCTTTTTCCCTACAAAAAATAAAAAAATTCAACCCCTTCAAAAATTAGAAAAATCAAACCATTTCATAAGACAGAAAAGTTACGTTTGTTTTTTGGAATACTATTCATATATTTTCTTGAACATGCACTACAAGGGCTCTTTATCTTTTCCCTCCTTGCATGCACCTTGAGCGATCAGTCTTATGGTTGCCATAAGGCTGCTCTTGCTGGTGGAATCCGCAGCTGAAGCTTCCATAGGCTCCAAATAGCAACCTAGATTCTGAGTACAAAAGGGGATGTTTTGCCATTCTAGTTTCTGGGAACAGAGTACTTTGTCTCCAGTACAAATGAGAAGAAACTTGTAGAAAAATTCTGGAGAACTCTAAGAATTTCTAATATGGCAACCTGAACTACAGCCTTTAACACCATTACATTCCTGAATCCCAAGTTCTTCTGTTGGCTCCCTTTTGGTATAGCTATTCAGAAACACTCTCCTTTACCTCCTAAAAATTCTTCAGAGCTGCTATTCAGCTTTCCCCTGCGGTGGTACCAGAAAGCAACAAGTTTCATGTTAGTGAAAAGTGACAGATATTGTAAGAAATGTTTCTTTTAACCCCAATACACATGTTATTACAACCACGACATTTGTATGTAGGCCTTGAAAACCTTTTTCTGGGAACTGTCATGCCAGAGGGAAAAAATTACCAGAATATATGGAAATTTTCAAATATTTGGGAATTTTGGATTTTTGAGGGAACTTTGAGCTGAAATTGACACATAATCATGAAATATCCCATGGACCACTAATATGCTACAAGAATTGCCAATTTTGTTTTTATTGCTGAAAGAGTTCACTGTAATTGCAAATTTGAGTATCACTGCCCACCACTCTGCTTTAGATTTGACTACAATTCTGGATGGAAGAAGGTAATTTTCACTTTAAGTATTATTTACAAAACATGCTTTTGTAGCCAGGGGGAAAATGAAAAAAAGAAAATCAATCCAGAAAAGGAATAAAGTAATACCGGTGTGAGGGTTTTTTCCACATGCATTACCATCTAGGCACTAAGTGGTCTGAAGCATCACTCTGCCTGCTGCATGCCTCACTGTCACAAACCAGAACCAAGAACGCCCCGCTCTAAAGTCACTATTTGAGATGCAATACCATATTCTGTCATGACAGCCTCCCCTACAGCCTTATACAGCATTACATGCCTTAACTCTACGTGCTCTCTTTGCCTCTGTGTATGGCACTCAGCTTTCCTAAACTTCAAGGAGAGAGTGTCCTAGGTGAAGCTAACCACAAAAGTATCAACAGCCCTTAGCATCCGCATAGTAGTTTTGACTTACCTAAAAGAAAAACAAGCAAGCCACAGAATCATAAAGACACTTTACCAATTTGTTAGCATGCAAAAGATTCTGCATACTTCCTCAAATTTAATGAGGAAGCCTAGCCCTTAAGACAAATTTTATCAGCTCTAGTGAGAATTTGCAATGTCAGTTTTCTTCAAGTAGCTTAGTATTTATGCACACCCATGGCTGTAAGCTTCCATTGACTGCAAAGAACAGTCAATGAATACCCTACCTATTTTTCAGAAATTTTATTTAACTAGACAACTATGTACTGGAATAACAAGAAAACAAATGGACCTTTTTGAAAAATCCTTCAAGTTATCTGCCATAAACAGAGTATGTTAGTCCACACAAAGATGATAATACTGTCAAATTAATCTCCAACAAAATACAGTCCAGTGGCAATGGTAACCTCCCAGGGAGATAGTCATCTAACCCTGTTCCCTTGAGCATCATCTCTGCAAGTAAAAATTCAATTCCCACAACTGAAACTTTCAGTCAACTACATAATACAGTACAAATACAAGTCTCGTGCATGCTGCTCTAAAAGAAAACAGAAGACATTCATGACATTTTGACATCACGCATTTACAGTGGAACTTTAAAATAAACAAATATACATGAAGTGAACCATAAATGTTCATAAGCTATATAACAATGTAATTCAAGGACATCCTGTAGGAAAAGAAAGTGTTGCCTGGTAAAGTTAAAAAACAGACTTGATGTAGGAACAAATTATGATATCGAGTGGTCTACAAATAGAAAAATCCGTGGAAATCTATAATGAGGGTAATGATGAATGTACTCAGCGTTCTAGTTAGAGCCAAGTGGGCCATTTCACATAATGCTTTACAGTAAATATAACCAGGCCTTTATACACTATTATTTTTATTCCCTGACATACACGTACCCCTCAGGAATGAAAGTCTAAGAACACCCAGACTCTTGGCTTGGAAACAGTATAAATTTTATATTTGGTGCTAGTTAGAATCTGACCAGAATCACAAATTCCTGAAGATAAAGGGGAAATAGAGAAATCAGTAAGAAACATTAAAAAGAAATATGGAAACATCAAAAACACTATGTGAAAGTCCAAATAAATTCCATTTACCATTTTACAGCCCAGTTTTATAATTTATAAGAATCGTTGGCAGCTTCTCACATGGTCTTCATTTTTTAAACAGCTTGCATAACAGTATCTTCAAAACTAACTAAGTTTTCCCCCATTTTACCCAGATCATTTATGAATATGCCAAACAGTTCAGACACTTCAGAGGTCTCTTTGGGGCTTCACCAACCTGAAAAACTTTTGCCAGCACCAAGACCAGTCATATTCCTGCCATCAAGGTAAACTTCAGGCACGCCTGCAAGTCATTAGGAGGAGCTACCCAACCTGAGACCCTCACCTTGGTGTACTTAGACTCATGCAACAGCTGTGGCTACAGATGGGACACAGGAGGAGTCCACACCACATGGATGTCTGCTACAAACACTTGCCTCTAGCAAGGTAGCTCACTGAGAGCAGCCCAGCACTGCTGTCCTCAGCTACGTTTCTCAACTACCTCTGCCTTGCAGAGAGTTCAAGGGTGGGAGGGAGGCATCTCACAAAAGAGATGACTGTGCTGCATCAGGAGAAGCATGAAATCAGGCTGAAGAAAGCAAGTCTCGGACTCGGTGCACAAAGCTCTGCATTTCTAATCCTCACCTCAACACATCACTGACTCGGACTAACACACTTCCTCAACACTGACAACACATACCACTTCTCAGAATAGGAGTAAGTATAACATCTCTGACACTTTTTCAAGAAAATAGCTGACACAGAGAACTGGCCCAAGCTTTTTTTAGCTCAGTTTGTCAAAGTTATTTACAACCAATCCTCTCCGGGTTAAGAGAGCCATAAAAGTTTGACATGTATCTATGGGTTGTGCTAAACCTTCTTACATTACAAGGCACACATGGACAAATGCATGAATAGCAAACAAAAGAAAAAGCACAGAAGCAGGATCCAACAGCAATAGAGGCATCTCAGTGGCAGAAACAGAGCTCTGGAGCAACACTTTGAAAGCAGAAATGCACACAAAAACTATGTCATATAAGTTCACAGAGCAAGATATTTTAAGCAACTCGAGCTGAAAAAAAAACCTATTGAGCAGGCTGTATTAATACTGAATTAAAAAATAGTGTGTTAATTCTTACATTTCACTCAATCAGTAAGAACAAAAAATCTACTTAAAAATTAGGTAGACCACCTTTTAACAGGACAGGAGAAGTAAAAATGGAGTGTGCAGAGACAGGCACTGTGCATTTCACTGTCCCACCTCCTGTCTCTAGCCTCCCACATGATCCAAGATGAGGGCAGGCCCCCTTCATGTGAACTGACACAAGAATGACAAAGGGTAAAACTGGGAGAAAGGCACCACAGAGACTTGTCTATCCCAAAATAATACAAAAATGCAGAACATATATCACTGTGCAAAATATTATAAGATAAAGAGTAATAAGAAAATCTTACCTGCAACATAGTCACCAAATCCAATGGTAGTTAAAGTGATAACCACAAAGTAAATTGCATCTAGCGTGCTCCAGCCTTCTATGTGCTTGAATATAACTGCAGGAAGAGCAACAAACAGCACGCAGCCAAACAGTATGAATATTATTGTTGAAATTATGCGAATCTTTGTCTGACTCACATTCCATTTCTGGAAAGGGAAGGGGAAAGAGAGGAAACCCATCGTTAATAAAACTGCACCACCATATATAAGCACCTATCACGCCCAGTGAGCACTACATTGCTCAAGAGGACGGTACATTATAATTCTCAAACAAGAGGAAAAACAAAGCAGGGTTTTATTGTGAAAGGGTTTTCAAAGCAAACATGGCTACCGTAGGAAACGTTTCCTAGCAGGAAACACCGAGCAGAACTAGACTCTTCATTGTGGCCAGGTTTGTGATCTGGGTAACATGTGTAGCATTCATTAATATTAACAGCTGATCATGCATGTTTTGAGTGGGCACTAGACATTTGAGTGAGCTTCAAGTAGTGCTTGCACCTGCAACATCTCTACTTTTGTGCATCCACATATAACTGAATAAAAAGGGTGAATTTTAACCATACAGCTCTCTCTATTCAAGTAAGATTCTAATCATGGCTAAAGAGAACCGCAGAAGAGAGCTGGAAGGGGGACACCACCTCTTTCAAACATGCCCCAAGGCAGAAACAACCCAATTAAGCCACTGCAAATACACTACTGGCCAGGCAATATGTGATCATGCTTAACTGTTCTTGTCATCAGAAAGTTTTCCTAATGCTTAACTTGCATCTCACCTCCTTCAGTTTAAGTCTACTATTTATGGTCTTCTACAAGGCAAACAAAGAAATTGCTACTTTGCTCTTTCCAGCAAACTTTTACAGGTGTTTTCTTTCACTCATATATTCTTTAGACCAAATAAATTAATTTCTTTTAGTCTTTCTTCATGCATCCATTCTCATTGCTATCCCTTGGCTCCAACCATCTAGTCCACGTTTCATTAGGTGCTGTACTCAAAACTAGATATAAAAAAATATCACAAAATAGAATGGAAGGATCCTTTCTTATGCTTTGTCTATTTGTTTACACTCCTGTTAATACCTTTAACTACGATGTATGCTTTTTCACAGCAGTGTGACATTAATCCATGTTACCTTATGAGGCCCTGGAGTCCTCAGAACATTTCTACAAAGTTGCACCTAGACAACTGCTTCCTAACATGTAATTGTACATTTTAGTATTCCTTCAAAGAGTATTTTGAATTTGTCCTTCTTGAATTGAATCCTAGATATTCAGACTGCTTCTCAAAATTTTGAAGATCATATTGAATTCTAATTCTGTTCTCCAACTTTTAGTTCTCCCCATCTTGAGATAATCTGTAGATTTAATGAACAAAGCCCTTTATCTGTTGTGTAAACTATTAATGAAATTTAGTAGTACCAGAGCTAGAACAGACCACTGTAAAGTCCCATTTGACATGCCCTGCCACTTTGGTAGTTTCCCTTTCAGTACAGTTTTCCATCCCTCAAAGCATGTTGGGTTCAACTTAAAGTAAGCAAGGGATTGCCCAAAACCGAAAACTTTCACAAAAGGAGACCAAAAATTAAATCAGACTGTTCATGACAAACTTAAATACAAGAAAATATGTGCCAGTGGAAACTATGTTTTACAGTCAGCATGACCAAGGTCCAGCTTTTGTAACCCAAATCACAGTAGTAGTTTCAATTATGGCAACGTGAAATTCCCTGCTCTGACCAATCACTGTCTCCCAGTTCTTCTTTGGCAGAACTAGTAAATAGAACAAGGGAGTATTCCAGAATGCAACATATAGATCAGTGTTTTCATTTGGAGATTGACAAAATGGGGAAAGATGCTGCTTTTTATGTTGGGGCATTCTTGTTGTATGGATACATCCATTAGAAAAAAAAGGAAAACCATTATCCCTATGAGCAACAGGCTGAGAGACACAAATTGGTCTCAAATCTTTTGCACTTTTAAGCAAAATTTAAAATTCAATGATAAAAAACGAGAAAGGATAAAACCAAAATGTTCTTTTGGAATGTTCTTGCCTTTTTCAGGCAAGTCTCAGTAGAAAAGGATGTTATTCACTAGTAACTTGTCTGGACTTGCACTAATGTTTCAAAACCAAAAATACCTGCCTTTTCTTAAAAAGCTCTCAAGTTTGTATTTACCTATTGCATAAGACAACTCAGCACAGCCCCAGTCTGCTTTGCTTCAAAAATAAAGCTATGGCAGACCCTTCCTATATAGAAAAGATTAGGGTTTGTTGCAGAAAAACAATCCTTCTAACACTTGCAGTGCTAATGCAAATAGCTACAAAGTCAGGCTGCTGAATAAGTATTCACTGGATATAACATATTCTACATATCAAAAGACAAATTGTGTTTCATGTGTTTTGAACATTAGGTAACAGTTAAACCTACATTTTATTGAAGGCTAGTAAAACACCCAAATAATGAATTTCATTAAGTGTCATTATGCCATTTATTCAATGCTTAAAAAAACCTCAGTAACTACATTTTTAATAACTGCATTAATAAAATTCAACCTTAATAAACTTTTCTGTGTGAAACAGACAAATTTAAGTAAATTAAGTCCCTCTAATAGAATTCAAAGCATTTGGTTGTTAAGGACTGGCTACGGCTGAACTTTATCAATATCTGCACAAGCTTCTGATCTGTTTGACAGGCCTCTTCCTCTACTGAAGCTGTGCCACTTTGCATGAATAAGTAAAGATTAGTGGCCAAAGAAAACAAAGGGCATGAATCTAGGCTGTGCTAAACTATTCAGCTGAAGAGGTTGAAAATACCTTGAACAGTAGAACATTCTACAGCCTCGTAAGGAGACCACAAAGAGGGGTCCAACGTCAGTAGAACACCAACAGGCTCTGTACCATTTAGGCTGGCCTCCCTCTGTGAATGCCCAAAGCTTTAGTCACCTACAGACCCATGAATCTGGAAATGTAGATGCCTACAAACTGTAAGCATTTCCTCTGGTATGATGGCATCCGAGTAGAGATTTTAAGACTCATGATTTTAGGCTCAGACATCAAAGGTCTTCTGTGAATCAGCTCAAAGCAGCAGCAATAATTTCCATGTTACCCTCTACAGCTCCACTCTGCCATCTCTGAATTAGTGATGTCCTACCACAATCTAAAGAACAATCCTTAAAGGTAAGCACCACAGCAAGCTTTGGAGTATAAAGGCAAAGCAAAAATAAAGTTTTGGATTTTATTCTTCTTCCCAGCCATTAACTGTTCTTAGAAAATGTTGGGCTTCATCCAATTCTCAATTAACAATGTTCAGTAACATGTTCAGACTTTGCAAAGTTCTTCCTACCTTTTGCTAGACATCTGGTTACAATGATGAGCTATACCCTGTTTTTCAGACTTTTCATTTCACTTGTTAACTTCAGAACAACGAGCAACATGAAGAGCAAATGAGGCAGTCAGCATACTCACAACAAAGGTATCTTCTACTTTGGCAATCCCTTTTCCAAAGATCGTCCCTAGTTGATCTCCAACACCAGCCAACAGAAACCCAAACAGAGGAATTCCCAATAAGGCATAAATGATACAGAATATCTTTCCACCTTGTGTACGTGGGGAGATGTTTCCAAAGCCTGAATTACAAACAACTTGAGATGTTTAAGAAGTTACATACATTACAGTACACATTTTAAAAGGACAGTTTGCAAACAGGTCCTACTAGGTTAACCAGGACACAGCAAGCATTGTGAAAAATCAAATGAAAGCATAGGTCATATAATCCTCTCAGCTAAAATTAAACTGCCGCACAATTCACCATTTTTTTTATTGCATATATACTGTGGAGAAGAAAAACTCCCATTAGAGAATTTTTTTATTATTATTATTTAAATAAATAACAGCTTTTCTCATCTATATGTAGTTAATAGCAATTGGTTAAGCCTTAGCCTCTGCTACCTGGAAATGTCTGTTACTGGACTTGTAATTGGCAGGCTGTGGTACTTGTTTACAAGATACAATTTTTTCACATGTGCTGCTCTTCAAAGTGAAGCAGCCTGAAAAAAGCCACTTGCATGAGAAAAACAGGGATTTCTAGAATAAATGGGACTGCTTAGAGTCTTCATTATTAAAGGCTTTAGTTCTTTCAGTGTTGCAAACAAAGCTTAGAGAAACAATTTACAGCTGACTGTTCTGACCATTTGAAAATGGAAATCATTTTGTCTTCACTGGCTTGTGTAAGAGCACCCCGATATGTCCATGAGAGCTCGACTGCTGCTGGTTCACTTAAAACAGAAAAACTGGAATACAAAGAGTACAGGCCCCAGCATCTGCAGAACACCCCCAGATGCAGCTCCCAGGATTGGTATTTTAATGATCTGCCCAAGGTCGGCAGAACCCTACAGACAAGTTTCATGAGCATCGGTCCTCTAGTTTTGATTCAAAAGTTCTTCCCCTCCAGAGCATCACTCAGTGTTTTGAGGGAGCAGTGGGGCAGCTGTAGGAACACCCGAGCATTTTCTACATTATTTCATTTTTCAGCACAATGTGCACTTTGAAGGAAAGACTTATTTTGTCAGGGGGGGATACAGGGACACGGGACAGGACGACAAGAGGCCTTTTGTCAGAAAAAGGCTTATTTTCCATGGAGAAAATAAACAAAAGCCTTTTAAAAAAGTTCCCTTTTTCTAGGAAAAAATAACTAGTAAATAAAAAGCAAAACATTTTGGCAAGTAATTGAGAAACTTGTTTCTCAGTGTCTTTAAATATTAAGTGATTTTTCATATATACAAAAGTCATTCAGTGAAAAAGCAATTTTCGTGTGAAAAAGCTGAAAGACAAATTTTATCAGTTCTTTTGAGAACTTGCAATGTCAGTTTTCTTTTTAAAATAGCTTAGTATTTATGCACAATGACTGTAAACTTCCACAATGCAAAACACATTTAACAAATAGCTTCCCTAGTTATCAGAATTGTAACTATTTTAAGCATGTTGTTTTAACAAATATACATTTCCTTTGGGAAACCTATTATCTTAATTTTTGGTTCTGCTCTCACGTAGGTAAGCTACCCCTAAGCTGTGTCAAAACTACTTTTTCCTTTCAATACACAGGAGAGAAAGCTGCCCCTCACTCAACTTCATTAAATAAAGAGTAAATCACATCAAAAATATATTTTACTCCTGGATATTTTGCCCTCATAACTGTTACCAGACAGTAATAGTGCAAACAATAAATGCAATGTTGGTAGAGTTCACTTAGATAAAAAAGTTAAAAGTTCCTATTTTCCCCAAATCATGACTAATAAACCGTGTCAAACTAAATATAAAGGACAAAATTACAAGAAACATCATCATTTACAGGTCATGGAGTCCTCCAACTTTAAGTTTTCCCTGCATTAATATAATAAAAGTTTGTCTCAGGCAAATGGAATAAATTCACAGCACCTTTAGTCCAACCTAGTATCCTTCCCCAACCCAGAGCCAGGGTAAAGTTACGGATTATTAAAATTCAGGAAATTTTAGCTCCACTGAGCTCACTCTGTCCCTTCATGCACCAAGCAGAAAAGACCCTTGAGTCTTAAAATAAAATTAGCTCATCACCAACCAGAAGGGGACAAACAGATCCAAGCTACTCTGTTTTCCTAAGTGTGCCTGTTTATGCATCAACAGGAGCCTGAATAGTTGCCAGGGTGTAATTCCTGAGGGGTCTTAATGCAATTCAGAATCAGGGGTCTGGATACACCAGATAGTTAAAACTCATACTAAGGGATTTGGAAATCCTTCTCCCTTTTTTGATTTAAGAACTGTATTCACTTGCTCTATGAAAGTGGTGTCTTGTAATGGTGACAAGAGACCAGCCCAATGAAGCACATGCCAAGCCGGCAGTTTTACTCTGTTCACTTCATAAAGCAAAGTGGCCCTTCCCATGCATCCCACAGCTATTACAGAGACAATTGCTGCGGCAGCATACTCCTCATCTGCTGCTAATCGCTACGAGGAAAAGAAGTTCACGTTCAGCTCTATATATCCTCCTCTCGAAAGCAGAGTCATGTCTTGCTCAGGAAAAGGATGGTACCTTACTTCTACACTCACAAATTCTTGCTTTTCATCCTGAAAAATGACAAATGTTTTTCTTCCATAAATGACAAAGAAGGTCTTGCATTAGTGATTGCACTTCAAAAAAATCTCAGACATTACTCGCTAAAATAATACTCCAACAGGTAGTAGTTTGCCTCTGTCCAGATGCTCACTGCACACAATGCAAACCACAGAGCTCTCACAACAGGACGTGTACTTTAGTGAACTGATCTGCCAAGGGGCATCCATCACACATCAATCACATTTCCTACAGTGCCATGTTTCATAAAAGCCTGCTGTTGTACACCACAGCCTACTTCACGAGTTACACAAATTGTCCTTACATCCTACGCCCAGTTTCTCCAATGAAAAGCGAATCCATTGTTTATGCAATGGGAGAGAATATGTATTTATATTTCATAGGGTTGATGTAATTCCTGAGAGTTTTGCCCCGGAAAAGTATTACTCCTTTCTTTAAAGGGAAAAAGAAAAAA